TACATACATTGACTGAAATGCTGCTCTATCTGTTCTACATCACTATTCATTTTCCTTGCTCTGGCTGTGGCTGATGAGTTGTAGCCCAAAATGCCTAGAGGGCACCAGGTTGGTGCTCTACATGGTGCCTTCCACAGTCTATTATCTTCTGATTGTATGTAAACACACCAAACTATGTAATTAAACCGTGGTAAAATGCAGAGTCTCCTTCTGAAAACATATATGCCACTTTTTCGGAATAGTTTCCTACAGCACTTCACAGTGTGCCTGCACCTTTTTTTTAATGTGTGGCAGGTTAACATCTTCTGTTACAGACAGACCCATCTGCACTGAGTAAACACTTTTGGGATGGAGGAGAAACTGTTTGAGTTCCATTATACACAGCAAAAGCTTTTACAGTGGATTAACACTGCTCTGTGTTCTCTTTACCTATTTCATCCTGCCCAAGCAATGACAAGAGAGGTCCAATTTAATATACACTCAGCTTGCTTTGAACTTTGGCAAGCATACACTCTGCAGGCTTAATGCGTTGCCAGAAGAATGAGGATGCCATTAATAGTCAATGAGGCAACCTTTTTAAAATTCAATGGAACAGCCTTTGTTTCTCTTCCATTCTACCTGTGGATACAAAGATCTGTCACAAGTTATTTATTTATTTAAAGAAACATAAGTTGAATGCTTCGAGTCTGCCATTTGACCATAACAGGGTTTAGTTAACAGAACAAGTTTCAAATGTTTGCTTACTGGGCTGCATTGGTTAAAAAAACCTAATAGTCCATTCACATGTTGAAGCTATTTTCTGTAGACACCTGCAGCTAGATAGATTGTGTGGAGTTATTTTTATGAATTATTATTATTGATTTGACTTATTAGTTGTTTTTTACAAAAGAAAAAAGCTTCTTAGCACCTTCTTAGAAGTCAAAAGGAGTAGCATAAAAGGCATTGTTTTTCTGTGTTTTCCTTACTTCCAGGTTTGGTGTAGGCAAATTTTAGATAACATAAATGTTTATCTGCTAAGCTTTCCTTTGCACCTATGATGTTATTGCTTGACTTTCTACTTGGAAGATGCTCCCCTCCCCTTCCTATCCTCTCTCAGACCAATTTTTTTCTCCTTCCCAAAGCTTTAGTCATTCCTGTTCAGTAGCTTGCTTGTATCCACTTTATCACACTGACAATCTGTCCGTTCTGAAAGGATTACAACTCTGTACTTCAATGCATGACATCATAGTGAGATATTGCTTAACGATCTGAGACTCTTAACATTGCCATTGCTGTGGCTTCTTGTTACTGAAAATATGTGACAGCTCTGGCCTATATGAGCTTTGCTTACATTGCACTTTTCCAGCCCATGCAGACGATTTCATGTGTTGTAAGTGACATTCATGAAACTGCTGAGGGTGCATTAAACAATGTGTAGTTGGCAGGCATTGGAGACGAGAACATGAACCTGCTTTAAGTTTCCCCATCATTAAGGCAGTGGAACAGTTCTTGACTTACATCAGTGCTGAGTATGGAACTGAAAGCCTTTGTCTTTATTGAATAATATGAAGTAGTTCAGTTGCACAGCTTTTGTGCATGGCTTTATGCAGTGGCGGAGCTTCATGCTCCGGCACCGGGGGGGGGGAGCAGGCGGGGTCAGGGCTGGCGCACCCCCCGCAGGGCGCACATCTTGGGGGTGTGCCACGCCGTCTGTGGGAGCGTGGCACCCAGCGCGGGCGGGGGGACAGCCGCAATGGCACCCCACCGGGATCGTGCTGCCGGGGGCGGTGCGCTCCCCCCCACTCCTCTTCCTCCGCCAGTGGCTTTATGTCCATTTACCCAGTTGTGGAGAGGCTTATATGTTACAAACCTAAGCAGCCAGTTGGCTACAAACAATATCTTGCCAGAATGCCTTGGGAGAGATGGTGCTTCAGCAATCGTCTGGCCCAGACAATGTAATATCTGACCATTCCTGGGTATCAGCCAGATCGTAACTGAGGCAGGCTTTACCCTTCTCCCAAATAGTTTCATGTAAAAAGTAGCCTTATTTGACTGGCTAGCATTTCACCAGCAGCTCTGGTGTTGCAACCTTGGCTTGTAATCTCCTTTGCTTCAGTGGTGTATATTTGATATTTGGCCAGAAGTCCAGACAAACTTAGGGGAGACCTTTGGTGCTGTGGCTAGAATGTCAGGGTCTGAAGGCTCTGCAAGGACGGCAGATGCTGCAGAGTCACAGGCAGTGCTGTTGTTCACTGGGAGGTGGTGCTCTCTCTTCTTCTCATCTAATGAGACCTCAGGTTCAGGGTCTGGCTGTGGCTGGACCCTGACTCTTCAGCTGAGTTTTCATACAGACTTGGGGGGAATATACTGTGCAGTTATTTGATTTTTAAACCATGATGCAGCATCCCAGTCAACCACATACGGTGACCTGGCAAGGGAATAATAGATTGCTGGGATTATTGGGTTGTTTTTGTTTTTATTAGGTATTTTGTGTTTTTATATTGTGATTTTATGTTGTGAACCACCCTGAGTCCTGTGGGTATAAGGCAGTATACACATTTAATAAATAATAATTAAAAAATGATAATAATACCTCTTATGCTAGCCCTGACAAAAGGTCTTTAGGATTGGGTTTGCCTAGCTGACTATAGAAGTTGTGAGAAATATATGTGTTGGTATTTGGGGACATTCCTAAGCGACATACTGTAGCATACGCTCCAACATTTCTCCAATGAAAATAGGGATGGCCTATTCCGTTGTTGTTGTTGTTGTTGTTGTATTTATACCACAGCCACTCTTATATATCCAACATATATAAAAACATAATAAAACATTGAACATTTTTTAAAAAACCTAATCTATACAGGGCTGCCCTCAGATGTCTTCTAAAGGTCTTCTAAATAGTTACTGATCTCCTTGACTTGGGGGTCACAAAACTCCATATCCTCCAAATTCACCAGTGTAGATAGGGACGGCTTCCGTAAATCCAGGACTGTCCCTGGAAAATAGGGACACTTGGAGGGTCTGCTGTAGTAATGTTAACATGATTGCTTAAGGTCAAAACAGTTTCTTTAGTCTAGTTTTACTTTACTTTCAGTTTGTTAATACGTAGTTAATGCTCAGGCACTAAAAAAATTCTCAACCCCTCTTCTGCTGAGTATGTGTGAAATTACTACAGGACCCATAAAGTAATAAAATTCCAAAGTGAGGAAATTTAACTACAGAAAGAGAGAGCCTTGTAGCTTTAAATGCCTATGCAAGCTTGGAGATCAGCGTTAGTAGAACTGAGTGCTCCTACTAATGGTCTTTGCCTGGAGATTCTTAGCAATCTGGAGTGAGCCTTCTGGCTTCTTTGCAGTATTTATCATGGAAAACTTTGGTTTTTGCATAACTTTAGCATCTGTTGAGTAAGGTTTACATAAGCTAATGGTGATACTGCGGACCTTAAACAGCTGACCTCTGTGCATATTTAAACTAAAGTAATTTCACTGACTTCAGTGGGTTTTCCTCCCAAGGACATGTGCAGCCTTCATCTCTTGTTGATGCCCTGGTTTGTTTCCACATGGTGAAATGTACCGCATGTCCATTAACCTTTTAATGCTATCAAGCTAATCAGTTCAAAGGACTTGTCAGAAACAGACCTAAAGGGTGACAGGATCCTATTGACTGGGGAAAATAATCCAATAGCACCGCCTCCAAATAGCGAGGAGCCCTGTGGGACTGAGGCTCTGACAGCAGCAGAGTAGCTGAAGTGAGTGAACAATTATCTGTCATGTTGTTTCAATAGTACAGGACCTGATAGAAATATTTATTTGTGCTCTTCTTTTAAACCTAAGTCCTGTCTTTTAAATCCTCTTGATAACACAATACAGGATGTGCCTGTTTGTTTTGGGCGAGGACCAATTCACAGAATCAATCAAGTGTATGTTTTCCATTACTATACATAGCAGCTGTTATATAAGAAACAATGAAAAAAGTAGCCTCCTTAGTGCCTCAAACTCCCACCATCCCTGACCATTGGCCATCCACCAATGTCTGGAGGACCCCTCTATGGCTATGTCTGGCCTATCTAGGCCAGAATCTTGTTCCCCACAGTGGCAAACCAGATGGCTATGTGAAGCCCACAACAAAGACGTGAGAGTTTACTTTATCACTCATGATAAAACTCTCTGTCTTGGAAGGATGGGTTTAAGCTGATCTGAAGGTGGCTCATTTCTTCCCCGTGTGTTTAATAAGAGGATGGGGGGGGCATAGATAGATGATAGATAGATAGATAGATAGATAGATAGATAGATAGATAGATATGTAACTACCATATTTGTTGTTCTGCATTTTAATATGGAGAATCTTTAGCTGACAGGCAGTCTAAAAATATGGTAAAGAAATAAGCACTTAACAGAGAGATAAATGTTAATTTTGGATCGTTGCAGTAATTATTCCAGTGTCTTAAGCCCATCTTTCAAAAAAAAAGCCACCACTCTTCCCAGTTTCATTCTGGTCATCTCTGTCACTGAAAGTGCTTTCTTTAGCCTTCTCAGATTTGCCGTGAGCTACAAGAATCACCAGAATTTTGCATATAATTCTGTTTTAGGAATATGGCTTTGAAACTTGACTGTAAGCATTCTGTCAGCTCATTATCATACAACTCAATCAAGCTGTTTTGTATCTGAAAAAGAAAAATGGTCTTGCTTTCCCCCTGGTATTAATCTCTTTTCTCCCTTCCTTTCTTAGTAACAGATCAACTCCCAGCAATCATGATCGGATACAACGCCTAAGGCAAGAATTTCAACAGGCAAAGCAAGATGAAGATGTGGAAGATCGGAGGCGGACCTACAGTTTTGAACAACCATGGGTAAGTGCTCATTTTCAGTCACTATATACAGCGCTGCACAAAGTCCTTAGGAATATAGGAAGCTTTCTTGTACCAGCTTGGACCATTGGTCCATGTAGCTTGCTATTGTTTACCACACTGACCAGCAGTGGCTTTCCAGAGTTTTGGACATCATGCTTCTAGCCCTACCTGGAGATGCCTAGGAATGAACCTGGGGTCCTTCTGCATTCAGAGCAGGTGCTCTACAACTAAGCTACAGCACGTCCCCTGTCTTGTGTCAGTTGTTATTCTTAATCCCTGATGCAACTTCGATTCAAGGTCCTTGGTGACCTTTAAACTCCTGACCCTTTCCTTCTCCAGCTGTGGCCCAACATTCATAATTTCATTTTGTATTGTGCTCTGCCATCTGTCAATTGTGTAAAGGGTATTGTTTGCCCTGTGACAAGGCATAGCTGGGTCACATCAATGCAGACTAGCTTATCTGTCTTGCACTTAATGCCTGTAAGGGGGTTGTGTATGCGTTATTTTCAAGAACATGATTCTTTGCTTGTGTAAGCTGTGCAGTTTCAGATAAAATATGGAGGGATTTAAGGCATTTATGTTGGACTGCACTTGAAGAGTGCTTTTAAAAAGTGCATTAAAGATAGAACCAGCAACTAGATTTTGCCAAGACGGGAAGAGATGTCCAGAAACGCATAGTTTTCCCAATCCCCCATTGATACATAGATAGCAATCCTTTTTTTTTTAATCACCAGTATTGTTCTTTTTAATCCAAAGGGTCCCCAAGGAAGCTTACATAACAAAACACAGCTCCATTAAATCATTTAAAAAATCCAGTTTAATAACGTTGCAATTAAAACCACCAATCGCAATCAATAAGCCATTAAGAGAGAGGATGTAAATGTCATATAAACACTATCAGTAATTAAACTATCGAAGGATTTATGTAATAGGAATGTTTTGATCAGGCTTCTCAAAACCTGGAGAGAGGGAGGTCTCTGACAGATATTCCCGGACAGGGATTTCTGCCATTGTGGGGGCACCACTGAAAAGTCAGTTGTTCTCGTGGTCACTACCTGAGCCTGTGGGTTGGCTCTATCATTAGATACACTGAGGCAGCTGCCTCACATGGCAGATGCAGCGAGGGAACCCTGGCAGCCTCCTGGCTATTCCTTCTGAACTCCACTCCACCCACAAGCTGTTCCCTTCTGTTGGAGGACAGAGCCCTTTAGGCCAACGAGGCTGCCCTGCACCCTGTAACTGTCCTGCTGTCTCAAGTGAACTGGAGGACACTATCCTGGCACCATTGCTGAATTAAGATTCAGTTGCCAGTCCAGTTGGGTGCAGTAGGAAAACATGGACTAAGGAGGGGCATAACCTGGCCCTTTGTCTCTGGCAACAAAATGTATTGGCTGGCCATGCTGATTTGCAAAAGACACTTGAAGTGGGATGCTGATAACCTAAGTGTATGATTAGATTCTTTTGATAGTAGACATTCCTTGGGCACCTTCAACCATGCACACACACACAAGAGTCTCACTGCAATGTGGCGATGGTATAATTCCGATGTGGAAAACCTTTGGCTCTCAAGATGTTGTTGAACTACAACCCCCATGAGCCTCAGCAAGCATGGCCAATAGTGAGGGATGACTGGACTTGCAGTTCAGCAACTTCTGGAAGGCCAAAGGTTCCCCATAAACCCAAATTGTCCCAAACAGACTATGAAAGCCTCTTAAGTATGCAGTACAATTCTGTGCAGATTTTAAAAAAGATTTAACATCCATGTCATCACCAGGCTACCTTAGAAATACAGAGAGAGATGACTTGTATTTCTAGCCATAAAGAAAAGAGCTATGTCATAAATATAAACCTCATATTTTGTAAATATGTATATCATATTTGTTAACCTGGAGAACATATACAACTTTTATTCAAGTTGACTTTTGTCTCCTTAAAAGCGTTTATTTTAAATCCCAGCATAACTAATGACAACAGATGTAGCCCTTAAATCAGCTACTTCTGCAACTCTATGTAAAATACTCTATATATTTTACTGTGTTTAAAATATATGGGCTTCCTTTTAAAGCTCTGTTATAAAATATGCTTGGTTCTCCCTGGAACTAATTAAATAAAATGCTTGTTTTATTTCCTTGTAAAGATAACTCAGGAACCTATTTTTATTTTCATGTACGAGGTTCCCGAAAAGGGGCAGGCATTATGTGGAGGCTTCTTCTGCTTCATCTCAGAATTTGACCGGTTAAGGGATCTTGGGGGACACTGTCTGAGAAAACTGTGCACTCAGGAGGACTTGAGAACTTGAGGGTCATGGGCCAAAATGTTCTCTATCCAAACACCATAGCAACTTTAAACAGGCAACCTTGGCGTGCATTATACTTTCCAGCAATGAATGAGTGGGAAATTATTTAGATGACAGGCTGATTACCTCAGGAATGGAATAATTTCCTAAATTGTGGGTCAGAATGCTGACCTTTCTTTTTTCCCTCTTTCCCCTCACCAACAATGAGGGCCTCTTCCCCATTGGGCTGATCATGTAAATGAGCTTAAAGTGACAGTAATTCTGTTAAATGTATTAATTTTAATCCTGAGCCTTATTGTTCCCTTGGCTGATGGTCTGCTCCTTTATTTAAGCTGCCTCTCTCTCTCTCTCTCTCTCTCTCTCTCTCTCTCTCTCTCTCTCTCACACACCCCCCCCCCTTTCTCTCTTTCCTTGTGCATGTGTCTTTTATACAGACACATTCATTTAGATGCTCAAATTCTGGAGAAATAGGTCCATTGTACCTCTGAATTATTTTCTCCCTCTTGTGTATTCCAATCTGGGTAAGATCACTGTGCTTGAAACTGTGGATGAAACTATGATCTCATCCATTCTGAGAGTGTACAATATAGTTTTAGCATTGAGGAACAATAAACCCATCTCTCAAGCAGCATATGCAACTTCAGGGTATTAACTTAAAATTATAGAGGTGCTTTTCCCAAAATGCATCCAGATGCAGTGAATATTAACAATGGTAAAATGCACACACACCAGTGGTTTACTGTGAGGAAACTTCAACCGTATTCTTTGAATGCTTTCTCTTTTTTATCTCAGCATTCTTGGCTACAAGTATTACTGTGGAAAAACACAGCTGTGCAAGTGTTAAAAAGTTTTGAATTAGCCTGAGGGAACAGGTTTGTGGCACCGTGAAAAGGAGGGGTTGGGGGACAAGAGAAACTGCTTGGATGGACATAAATAAAGGTTTACATCCATAAAAGTCCCTCAGATCCATGATGATACAGTGAGCTTTTTCCTCCTGATTTGAACAAAGAAGGTAATTTCCCATCCACAGAGCTTGATGAATAACAGATATGTATTAAAGAACTGGGATTTGAGAAGCAGAGAGAGATAAGTGTATGTGTGAAAACAGAAGGAAATTGGGTTTGCTGCATATGTCTGACATATAAAAATGACTTCTGCCTGAATCACAGTTTCCAGTTCCTGGTGGATGGTTGTGTCCATATGTCTTTTCTTGGATCATAGTGGGAGGATGTCCATTTCAAATTATTCTACAACGATTCTGTTGGCAAAACCTTTACTGATGTGCTGTGGGGTTCTGGCATTTCTTTCTGGGCTTGTATATCTGCTCTGCCAATAATTAATGAACTTCCGTCCTCAAAGCAGTCAGTCCCGTAACTTTTATGTATACAGACACTCTTATTCAAAACTTCAAAATGACACTTCCTGAAGAGAGTGGGGCAGAATAGTTAATGATGAGGACATGACTCAGACCAGTGAGCCTAGGGTGACGATTTATCTTTTCTCAGACATATTTCGTTCCACACCATGCTAAGCCAGAGTTCTGTAGGGCTCAAATGTTCACTCCTCCATGAGAAGGGTCTTCCATATCTGCATCCGGGTGGGGTTTACTTGCCAGCTTATTTCTTTAAAAAGAAATAACCAGTTTTTGCCTTCTGCCCAAAGAGTTGCTCAGAGGCAATTACAAACAAATGCAAATATACATACTGCAATAACCCAGCCAATGAAGCACCAGTGATCAAGGTAAAAACAGCAGCAGGGAACAAAGCAGTGCTTGCTGTCAGCTCCTTAAGCAGCAGTAGAATCAAAAGATAGCTTTAAAAAGGATGCTTCCCGAAATATCAGCAAAAATACAAGCATGGATTCCCATCTGCCCCACCTACATGGCCAATGGTCAGGGATGGTGGAAGTTGTAGTCCAGTAATACTTAAGAGAGCCACAGTTGCCCCATCCCTGGGTTTGAGGTGTTGATTTTGGCATGACAGAAGTTCAAGGAAGGGTTGTGCTGAAACTACTCATCTAGTTCAGAATATGCTAAAATGTCAAAAAGCACCATCCTTTTCCAGCAATCCTTCAGTGCTGTCCAGTGTTTCTCTATTCTTGCTGCGGCTGCTCCTTGGCGCCATTTTCCTTCTTTTTCTTTGACCTCACTCTCCTTGACTTCATTTTGTTTAATTTGAATGGCTAAGCCAGGCAATGTTACTTGCTTGACCAGGTGAACAATTATATATTATAATTGTCTGCAAAGCCATGGGAAGTGAATAAGAAATAAATAAATAAAATCTATTAGCATCTTTTAATTAAACCACAAGTTTGAAGTTGAGAAACGTCTTTCCAGATGGTAGCCAGTCCTGATTGATCTTAGCAATAGCAATTTTTAAGATGAGGAGTAACCTTGAACCTGTCACTATCTTTCAGCCTCATTTACCTCATAGGGCTGTTCTGAGAATAAAATGTGGGGGAATGTACACTGCCTTGAAGTCCTTCAAAGAAAGAAGGAGCATAAACGCAATAAGTTGATTAAACAGAAAATTGGCCTTATTTAATTGAAGGGTCTTCCATCTTTGAGCAGCCTGAAAACTTTTTAACCAAACTAGAATATTTTGGATTTAGCTCATTTGTAGTTTATTCGTGTCAATTCTAGATCACAAATATATAATAAATAAGTGATAGAGAAGTAGAATTCCAGTCCAAAATTCCACAGCTGAGTTCTACTCCTGCTGGGTTTTCATTCCACCCCTTGATTTATATTCTGCTACCTAGGATTGGTTTGTACTGGTTCTGTGTATTCTCCTGAATATTCTTGTGCATGCATAACATTTGCATTTGATTGCAACTGTTCTAATATTCTACATGTGCCTTCTACTGAGATCTTCAAGAAGAACCACAATAAGGATCTCATATTGTCATGTTGTGCACACCAACCTTCTTCTTCAGCTTCCTTTT